TCACTCATTCATTCAAACCATTCAATTCTGGGCCGGACACAAAGTTGGCCTTGGGAGTTCAGCAAAGAACAAGGCAGCCACAGAGGCTGCCTGGGGAGCTCATGATCTATCAAGAAGGCATCCTGACGCTTCTCCTGACTGCCGTGCAGACTCACCAAGTCACTCCTCTCTGAGCCTTGGCCACTCCGGCCAGAGAGAACCTTGGGTGCAGTAGGGCCAGGATTCAAGAATGGGGCAGCAGGGGTGTAAATCCGAGCTCCACAGAGCAACTCTCTAGGGGCCAGAGGGGACTAAAGGCAGGCCTGGCCACTGTGCAGAGAGTGAGCCCCAACCCGGGCATCCAGAGTGTGTCTAGGGGGATGGAGGCTTTTTGGAGCCCTCTCATCCTCAGGTTCTAAATATTTCCCATCATGTGGCCCAGACACGAGCCCCACCCCCACCCCACTCCCCAGTTTTGTTGACAACTCTACACAGTCTACAAAGAAAGCTCTCCTGGATCATCCCCAATGATGTTCCCAATAGCCCCGCCCACCTAGCAGCCGACAGCCCTGAGAGGTGGTGGAGGCGCAAGGGCTCCAGGGCCAGGCTTCACCCACCTCTGAGACTAGGGTGAGAATTAAATGAGAAAACATACGGACACTTCTGCCCAGAGCCTGGCAAAGAACAGACACGTGTGACACAGCAGTGACATGGGCATAATCTGGGGGTTAGGAAGGCCCCAGAGAGGTGAAGTAAATTGCCCAAGATCACACACAAGGGGATAAAATTAGGACTACAATCCAGTTCTTTCAGCCTGCCAAGCCCCAGCTCAAACCAGCTCTGCCACGTTCCAGTGGTGTGACCTTGGGGCAGTCATTTACCGGCTCCATGCCTCAGTTTCCTCCTCTGTAAAATAAGGGTTCTGATCATTCCTACCTCCAAAGATGATCATGAGGATTCAATACATGCTGGCTCTATCGTGAAGCACTCAGAGGAGTGGAGGCCCCTGCCAGGGGCAGCGATGGGAACTGCCCGCCTCCCACCCACAGCCTTCAGGAAGCCCCTGCGGCCCTCCAGAGCGGCCATCCCTCTCCCCCTGCGGCTTTGGGGGAAGGCCCCGCTCCGACGAAAGGGACGATGAAAGGGACGACGGGAGGGAGGTTTGTGCAGGATCTGGCTTCTGGGGGAACTGTCTTGCCCCTCATCTCCCCTTCAGGATGCCCCTCTTACCCACCCCCTGCTGCTCTAGCATTTTCCAGAACCCAAGCCCAGAGCTGCCCTGCCCCAGTGCTGGCGGGGGGTGGGGGGGGCCCTCCATGCCCCAATCCATCAGGTGGAAAAAGCCATTTGTGTTCAAAAGGCCAAACTCTTTTTTCTACAGCAGAGCTCAGTCACACCAACCCCAGCACCAGGAACAAGAAACACTGGATTCGCAGCTGCAGGCACCAGGTTCCACCCCAGCTCTGCTGTGAGGGTGCGGTGACTCCCAGTGCAGTCCTGTAAGTCCAGTATTGGTCCCCAGTTGACAGATAAGAAAGCCAAGGGTCAGGGCAAGTGACGGCTTGCTCAATGTCCTGGTGACCACTTTTATAGCTCAGCCCCAAACCTCCTCCTCCAAGACACCCTCCTTGACCTCTCCAGGCTCCTCCTGGGGACCCATCTGCTGAGAGCTCACACCCCCTCTGCTGAGAGCACACACCATGGCAGGTTCACACAGTCCACTCAAGGGACTCATTTTCTCATCGCGACATCTCTGCAGGGCTGGCGCTGTCACTGTTCCCATTCTACACATGAGCAAGTCGAAACAGAAACCCCTGACCCCAAATCACACAGCAGGTGTCTGTTCCCAGAGCCCCTGCCACCTTGGGGGCTAATAGGCAGCAGACCCCTGTGGTGCCCCTGTGTCAGGCCCTGATCTGGAACAGCACCAGGGGCCTCAACTTTTCATTTTTACAGTGAGAACAATCTTGCCCTGGCCACCCAATGTCCAGAGTCCACAGAGCAGTAGCTGGAGGGCAGAGGAGTAGGGAGCTCCTGAATGATTGACATGTGGGGGTGGGGAAGGAGCAGGAACCACCAGGCCTAGGGGTGGGGCTTCAGAAGAATTTCCAGATTGATTTCCCCTCCCCACCGTCCCTCAGCCTTCCACTCCCCACCCCTACTGCCACATGCCCAACCACAGAATGGCAACCTTGTAAAAGAATAAGAAATCAACATTGTTGAGTGCTTACTATGTGCCAGGCACTGTCCTAAGAGCTTTATATATTAACCCTTTTCATTCTTGTAGTCTCTCCATTTTACAGACATGGAAACAAAGGCACAGAGAGGTTAAGTAACTTTCACAAAGTCACACAGCCACAAAGTAGTGAACTCCCATCACTGTGAGTATTCAAACAAGACTAAGGGGCCCCTAAAAATCCCTTCCATCCCTGAGCTTCTAAAAGAACATGTTTCAAAGCCCAAATTTCCAGGATCTGCACTCTCCAAGCCTTTCTGGGTGGGGACGTAAGTACAGCAGCTGAGGTGCCTGAAGGCAGAAGTCCTTCACAGTTATAGTCACCTGGTCTCTCAGAAGAGAAAACTCCTCAAAGCAGATGCCAGGAGGTGCGTGCGCATGCACACACACACGCACACGTGCGCACACACATGCACACACACGCCAACTCACCATCTGCAGCATGAATGAGACCTGCTATCCCCACTGAGGTCACTCTGGAAGCTCCCCCAACACACACACTCCCTTTCAAGCTCGTGGGCAGACCTAGGGGCCATCTCGTTCCTCTGACCAGCCATTTCCCATCCCAGAGATATCCTTAGAGGACCCCACCATGGAGGCCATTCCTGGACACACCCCAGTTGGGACTCTTGGTCTAACTTAGTCCCTCCTGCAGGCATCACCCTTCTTCTCTGGTGTGGCATCCCACTAAACCTTTGCCTCTCAGGCCAGATGAGGTGATGCCCCTCCTCCACAGCTGGACCCCAGGGAAGGTGTGAGGCCTGGAGAGCCCCACCCTCCTCTCCTTCAAGTCAAGCCCAGCCAGAGCAGTCTGCAGGCCCAGAGCCCCCAAGGATCTGCTTTCTCTGCCACCCAGCACTGGGTCTGAATCACACCCTCTACCTCACCCTCAGATCCAAGGGCACCCTGCCTCACTGAGGCCCTACTGTGCACCTGGGCCTGTCACCTGGCACACTCTCAAATCAGTTGCTTCCACCACCTCCTGGGGAATGAATTATTAGCCTTGGTGTATGAATAAGGAACAGCTGTTCAGTGAGGGATGTGACTTGCCCAGGGTCACAAAGCTTGAGATTCCTGCTAGGCTTCCAAGTCTAAAGCATTTAGTCCTGAGCCCGTTTTCACTCTTTTATACACCACGCATTTACTGAGCTGCGTCTATGAAACACACATCCTCTCTTTTCATCTTTGAGGAGGGTGTTATTAGCCCCATTTCACAGAGAGGAAAGAGAGGCTCTGAGAGATGAGATGATCTGTCAAAGGTCAGACCATGAGCCAGGGGTAGTAGCAGAATCTGAACTCAAGGCCACAAGACTGATTTTGAAGATGGTCTTCCAGAAGTGTAATGCTCTCCCGGGACCCCTCCTCCCCCTCCCCAGGGGAGCGGAGCAAAGCACCCAGCCACCATGCGGGTAGTTCCCCTGGCATTCAACACTCCCCTACCTACAGCCCCCAGCTCCCAGATAGGGGGGCCAGTGAGTAGTCCATCTGCCCAAGATAACCTCTGAGCCCCTGCCTGTCTTCCTCCAACTTATAGGCTGGCTGACAGAGGCTCAAGGAGACTTGCAGGGGCAGAGTGGGGACCCTGAAGGGGGTGGTGTCTGAGAGGTCTGGGTCCATTTCAGCCTGAGGAATGGGGGACAGGCATAGTTCCTGGAAGGAACTAAGGAGACTGGGCCTAGAAATGCCCAGCTCATTCCCAGTTCAGGCTTCAGACATATGCCCATGGGGGCAAGGTGGGGGGGACTCACTTGGAACCTGAGTCCTTCAAAGTGGGGAGGTGGCCCTTCCTCCCTATATCCTCCTGCTCCCCCTGTTGGACCTGGGACAGAGCTCAACCCCACAGCTGCTGCTGCTGCTTTGGTCATTCAAAGGGACGCTCAGGTGTCACCTCTTGCATTCACAATCACCTCTACCTGCACACATTTGGCCGCCCTCAGGAGTACATGCCCCGTGCACAGAGTCACCCATGCACCTGCATGCACTGCACGGATGCACACACTCTCATGAGTCCGCGCACACACTCCCATGGGTCGGCGCACACGCCCACCACCGAGGTCTCTCCCCACACACTCACCCCTGCAGGCACACACAGCCATAGCCAACAGTCACCCAGCCCAGTCGCTAGTACACACCATGCACAACGGGTCACCCTCACAGGACTAAACACATACATAGGGCATGATGGCACTCACCCATCCCTTTCACCCATACACACACCACAGGTCCCAGCACCCTTCACTGAAGTGGACACACACACACACACACACACACACACACACACACACACGGTCACCCTCACCCCCCTCAGGTCACCTTCACACAAGTCACCCTGCACCCCACCCTTTCTCAGGGACCCCACTGCCCTCAAGGATACCCTGGGAGGAACCCAATGCACACCCTCCCCCAGTAGGGAGAACACACCCGATGCCCTAAAAGTGGCCGCGGTCTGGGCACACCCACGAGCAAAATCCACGTTTACTCCAGACCCAAGACACACCCAGCTCTGGTACCGCCGGCGACCCGGCCCGCCGTCAGGCCCGCGCCCCTCACCCATACGGGGACCGGTTCAGCCCGGGCAGGCGGATTCCAGGAGCCTGGGGAGGGGGAGCAGGGCTGGCTCCGCCGGGCCTCCCTCCGGGGCAGGGTCCCACATGGAAGGGGACCGAGTCCCCTGAGGCGACCGCCGGCGGGTGGCCTTCCCCTCCGATGCCACCCCAGGGTGCGCGAACGGGGAGGGGGCCGGGGATGACGAGAGGGTCCCGGCCGGGCGGGCGCCGTCACTCACCCCCGCGGCGCGCCCGGCCAGCAGCAGAAGCAGCAGCGGCGGCAGCAGCAGCCCGCGGGCCCGGGGCCCGGCCGCAGCCCCCGTCCCAGCGCCTGCCCCGTGGGCGGCCCCGGCGCGGCGCGGTGGCCCCGGCTTCATGGCGGCGGCGGCGGCGGGCGCCTTTGTTCCCGAGGCGCGGCGCGCGGGGCGGCTGCTCGGCGGCGGCGCGGCCCGGCGGCTGGACCGACGCGGCTCGCTCGGGGCTCCCGGCTCGGCGGCCCGGCTCCGCCTCGCGGCTCCGCGCCCACAGCCGCCGCGCCCGCAGGAAGCGTGCGCCGCCGCCGGGCCGCCCCCAGCGCGGGCGGGGCGGGAGGAGAGGCGGGGCGGGGCCGAGCGCGCCCCCCGCCCAGCGATCCCGCCCCTCGCGCCCCGGCCTTCTGCCCCCCGCGCCGCAGCTCCCCGCCCGGAGCCCCGCGCCCTTGCAAAGGCTGTCGCGCCGCAGTGGGGTCAGCGGGACAGCGGCGCTCAGCCCGCGGCTGTGCCACCTAAGGCGAGGACCCGGGCTCACTGAGCCTCGGCCTGCAAGATAGGGGTCCCTCCGGACGCGCCTCCTCGGGCTGTCATGAGGGAAGGGTGGGGAGACAGGCCTGGCTCCTCGGAGGGTCCCAGTAGAGTCGCATTTGTGTGATCATTAGCAGCTTCCCCCTAAGGGCTTCGTTCTCATGGCTCTGTCAGGACCCATCACCTGGGTCATCCAAGCCCCCTGGGCATTGACGTCTCCAGGACAGAATGGGCTGGGTGACCCCAGATCAGGTGCAGCCCTCCCCGCGCCCCTCTCCCAGAGCAGGAAACCCGCCTCAGTCTCCCTTCTGCACCAGGGGGTTGACTTCTGGGCCCTGTCACTGGATCTGCAGAAAGCTGGGCAGACCTCATGTGGTGCTGCTTCCCCACCAGCTGTGTGACCTCGGAAGTGCTCCCCCCCCCCAGATTCCTCAGGTGGAATGGAGCCCCACTCCCTCAGTGCAGGCGCTGAGGGCTGTCGTTTCACCCTGCTTGGTCAGCCTGAATTTGTCTCTGTGCCCCATCCCCATCTGGCCACTGTGCACTTGACTTACTCTTTCAGGTCTCCCACAGCTAACGCCCAGGAGCCCAGGAGGGCAGGGGCTGGGTCTCTTGTTTGCTGCTGTGTCCCCAGTACTAGCACAGAGACGGGCACATAGTGGGTGCTCAACACAAACTTGTTGAGCCGATGACTGTGTTTCCCATTCACCTGAGCTACCCCACCCAGGGGTTTGGGGAGGAGGAGTGAATACTATGAAGCCCTGACCGTGTGCCAGGTGTGGCACCGAACGCTTTGCATGGGCTGCCTCATGTCCCCTCAGCAACCCCGGCAATAGGTGAGGCCGGTGTCTTCACTTCCTTCATGGGCAGCTGAGGCCCTGAGGGGGAGTTATTCGCTAAAGCTGGCCAACTGGATGTCTCGCCCGCAGCCCCTGTGTCCTGCCAGCGCGGGGCCTGCCATCAGGAAATAGGAATTAAATTGAGCTGAATCTGGAACAACCCCCCTTCCCCGCCCCAGGAAAAGGGACTGAAACCAAGGCGAATGGAGCCAAGAGGAAAGTGTGCAAGGGGGGCCTGGAGGAACAGGCTCCGGGGCACCAGCCATGATTTGGGGGTGTCAGGAGACCTGGACTTGTCCTGAGGGGCCCTTGGAAGGAGGTCCAGAGGAAACGTCATCTCGGAAGGTGGAGCTGAATTAGGAGGTGTTCCTGAGAGGGAGTGAGAGCCGCATCCCTAAAGGCTATGTAAGGCCAGGCCAGCTACCCTTTGGCAGAGATCCTGGAGAGGAAGAAAAGGAACCTTTCCAACTCAGACTTAAAATTCCCTAGGAATTCAGAGGTCCCAGCCTCTGGAAATCCCATTCCCAATTTCCTTTAGGGGCCCTGACCCACGAATACCTTGGGGAAATGTGTGGAGAGGGGCCGGCAGGGCCCCGTTGTGGGGAGCCGGTCCTGGTTGAGAGCCGATCTCGAAGCTGAAGAGCTGTGACTTGGGGTGGGGTGAATACCTGGGTTCAAACTCAGTTCTGCCAGCTATGGGCTGTGTGACAGTGGATGAATAGCTTTACTTCTCTGAGCCTCAAATTCCCAACTGTAATGTGGAAATAATGACTAGTGGGGTTCATTCATTATTCCCAAATATCGGTTGAGTGCCTATGTGCCAGGTGCCAGGTTGTGAAGATTAAATGAGCTCTTCCCTGCCATTGTCCTGGGGGTTCAGGAAAGGTGGCTGGGAGATGCTTAGAAAGCAAGGGATTTGGATGAAGGGATAGTCGTCTCCCAAAAGGGCTGCCACCGGCCCAGGGAACAGGAGCTCCCAAAGGGCAAATGTCAGCTGGGTGCAAGGACGGACTCTGGGAACAGTTGGAGCCGGTCACAGATGGCAGTGGCTATTCTGAAAGGTAGTGCCCACTATCTTGGGAGCCAAGCAAGGCTCAGACAACTAGCTATCAGGGAGGCCATTAGGACAGTCTCCACGCACAAGGTGGGCAGTGAGCATTGCCCATCTTCACGGGTTCCTGCCAGTCCTGAGACTTCTGGGGGCAGCGGCCTCTCTTCCCTGACACCCTGGGGAGGAGAGAGAGGTGTAGAATCTTTGGGCTGGGCAGGAGCGCCACCTGCCGTTCCTCAAAGATACTGGTCCCAGTCAGAATCAAGCCAGATCTGGGCCCCTGAGAGTCTCATCCGGCCCTTCCCCCTCGCCTGCTCCCGCTAGCCTTGGGGTTCACAGATGCACACATTCACCTGCTCTCCAGCACCCAGTGCATTCACGCAGTCACCCTCCCCCACGGCTGCCTGTGCATTGCAGCCACATGCCAGCATCTCAGGGTCTCCCTTCACCCGCCGTCACCACCCAGGCAGGCGTGCCCCCTCCCAGCACAACTCCCCTGGCCCACTTGGCACCCTGAGGGGCCTTCCGGACTTTCTCAGGCAGGGTGATCCCACCCCTGCACAGCACCTTAGACAAGCCCTACCTGTGCGCTCCCCACCTGCTGTTCTGTCTCCGCTGCTCCCTGGAAGTGTCCCCAATGGGCAATAGTCACAGGACTCGAGCAGAGCTGACTGTATGGTGGGCACCGTTCTACGAAGTATGTACACACTGACATTATCCCTAGTGACAAACTAAGGCACAGAGATGTTAGAGGTGCCCAAGGTCACACATCTGGTGAGAGAGAGCTGAGATCCTAACCCAGACTCTTTTTTTTCTTATTTTCTTTTTTTTTTAATCCTCACTCAAGGATATTTTTCCATTCATCTTCAGGTAGAGTGGGAGGGTGGGGGGAGAGAGAGAGAGAGAGACATATCCACTGGCTGCCTCCTGCAGGACCCCAACCAGGGCTGGGGATGAACCACAACCAAGGTGTGTGCCCTTGACTGGAATCGAACCTGGGACTCATTGGTCTGCGGACAGACGTTCTAACCGCTGAGTCAAACTGGCCAGGGCTTGACCCAGACTCTTAATAGTTACACTTTAACGCCAAGTCCAGAGGTGGGTCAGGGGTGGGTCATTTGATGAATGCATTAGAGTCAATGTAGGGGTTCACACTGTCCCATAGACACCGCCAACCCACAGACATACTCAGATGATCCCGGAGCCCAGATAACCTGCCACAGGCACACCGGGCAGCCATGCCTCACCTCCTACCCTGCACCCCCCAGACCTCTCTGCCCCCGGTGAGGCCTCCTGGCTCTAACAAAACAGCGAAGGGGAAGGAAGGCCTCGGCCAGCATCTCTGAGCTCCACACCCGGGACCCTTACAGAGTTGCATCTCTGGTCCCGGCACACAGTAGGTGCTCACGAACTGCTACCTGACTGCCTGTCCCCAGAGGTTTGGCTAAACAGACTGGCTCCTTGGAAGCCATGCAGTGAGGAGAGCCGGGTCTCAGGGCTTCCTCTCCGCCAGGCGCGGCTGGGCCTGCAGAACCTCTCTCCTGCACCTCCCCAGTCCGCGGCTCGGGAACAGCCAACACGCTGGCCTTCGGGGCTGCTGCCTTGAGGACCACGTGCGCTGACACAGGCACCCCTTCAGCAGAGCCCGGCGCTGGGAGCGCAGTGCACACTTTCACTCTTTACTTCTTCCTATTTTGTAGTTGGGGAAACTGAGGCTCTGAGAAGCTGGTGGCTTGCCCCAGGTCACACAGCCTCGCGGTGCCATCCCCTGTGGGCACAGGGCACTTGGATCCTAACGGGCCCTCTGGCTCAAGGCCATCACAAGCCTTGGAAACAAGTCTGGATCCCAGGGCCAGCCCCGCCTCCACCCTGCTCCCTCCCACCCTCTGCATCTCAGCTTCCAGTCTTGCCCAGGATCCAGGACGGAGGCCAGAGCCAGATGTGCTTCTGGGAAAGTCTGAGTGAAGGCCACCCTGAGGCCAGTGACCCCCAAATCAGGAGCTGAATCTGGATTCTGGCAAGAGAGCTCCCCATCTAGTGTCCACAGAGTGAACTTGGGGAGACTCAGGCTGCCCCAGCAAGTCAGGGTGAGCCAATGGGCTGCTGGGAGCCTCCCTGGGGCCTGCAGAGGACCAGGGCTTGCCATCATGGGGTCTCCATCTGTGGGGAGCCCCTGCCCATCCTGACTGTATAAGGGTCTCACAGGGCCAAAACTCAAGCTTGTCCTGAGCCCCACTGTGTGCCAGCAAGTCCTTTCAGAATGAGAATGGGTGATTTCTCCTGGGCACAGAGCTGCCAAGCATGGGGTCAGAATTTGAACCCAGGCCTCTCGAGTTTTTGAGCTGGAGGTTTGCAAATTGTGGCACCCAAAGGTTTCCCTGGAGGCCCCTCAGGGCAGGTGTGGGTGACAGGGACGGAAGTCGGGTTTTGTTTGAGCTGAGTGACCGTGGGCACAGAGCGAGGTCGGCTGGCCTAGGCGGGGAAGGGGAGGAGGCAGAGACGCAGGCCTCCTCGCCTGGTTCAGTCTGGCCCAGGTGACAGGCCCGGCGGCGGGGAAGGGCGGTCAGGGAAGGAGAGGAGGGCTGTGGCATCTCAGCTGGGGATAGAGGAAAATAGGAGTGGGGCCCAACTCTGGGGCCCTGAAGTCATACAGTTGGAGGGGATCACAAATACAAAAGTGGGAACAAGACCGTGGCTGGGGGCTGCACACAATGAGGTGCCCT